TTTTTGGCATCATTCTAAAACTTCTGTTAAAGCAGGACTGTGTGGGGAGTTGAAGGCAAGACCCCATGTGAAGAGAACAGCATGTCTTTAGTCTTCACTCACTCTTTGATGACTTTGATGTCCATATAGTGGTTTCCATCATAGCGAACAGTCACACCAAAGTTCATGGACACAGTGTAGTGCACTCCGGACATGAACACAGAAACACCAGGGACCGGACTCACTGGTAGGTTTACATTGGTCCCATTCACCTGTGTGGGGAAAGCAGGTGTGTGTGACATAATGAGTGATTACTGAGGGAAGCATCAAGCTTAAAAATTGTTCTATATAGAGACTTTTCAGTTACTGTCACTTCTGTGGTACCAGTGACTGAAAAGGTGCAAATGATTTCTGAACAACGGCACTTGCAGATATAGTGCCATTGTTGTCACCCAGCCACCCTTGTTGTTGAACAACAGTTTTAGCTCTACTGTTCCTCATCTCATCTTTACCTGAACAATGCCACCTTTGAGAATGGAGATCTTCACCATGCGTACATGTACATGTACAGCCTTCACATAGGAAACAGTGGGCACGTTGTAGCGATTTTCATTGTCAGCATGGACCTCAAAGTATGGCAGAGTCGTTTCATTGCAGGGTTGTGACATCACATAGCTGCAGTTGCCCATGAAGTCGTAGTTGAGTTTGTCAAAGGTGGTGTAGTGGGGATCACCAGACGCTATGCATGTGGATGTGTCTAAGGGAATAACAAATGAGAAACTGCTTGTTAGTAGTTAGCTTGGTACAAATATATTTTCCTGGTCTGACCATTATTTGTAAGAAAGCCCCAGCCTCACTCATATTTCAGGTTGAGTTTGAAGAATGCTGGTAGGCCCAGTTCTTTGAGAAAATGCAAGACATTATTACCTTTAGGATAGCACCCTTCAACACCATTAATGTCACGACACTCCTCCGTGGGGTCACAGGAGTTATCGACACACTCCAAAGTGTAGTTCCCTGCACAGCGACACAGCTTTGAGCAACCATCTCCAAACACGATCTCACCAGGCTGAAACAAAATTGAACACAGGGTTAATACCAGCAATGTGTACTGTATGTCACCAGAGGCGCAGCCTTCTGGTTAGTTAGCCTTGACATTATATCTTTACTACACACT